ACCACCACTTGTTTACAAAAATGTAAATAAATAAATACACCAAAAAGACCCACAAAACATTATTCCACAAATACTCCATTCAAACAGAAACATAAAAAACAAACTGATCATAAGAGTATTTTTTACTCGATTTGGTTGGTTGTACCATTGAAAAAACTACTCCAATGATTCTGCTTAATAATGTTCTTACTGTACTGCAGGTCAAATACATAAATGTCTAAATTGCAGCAGCATGTCAAACATGTCTTATTATTTGCAGTAGTGAAACTAAAACATGCAAAACCACTTTCATGTTGCATAGGTATTTATGAGGAATGAGTCAAATCAATTCTTCATTGTGGTTGATGATGATTTTAAACACCGCCTGTCTGCTCTTTCACCTTTCACCTCAAGCCAGTAGAAGCCAGGGTCTTGTTGTGGTCGTAAAGTGTGTTCCACCTTCACAGACCCCAGCAGAGGTCAGGATTAGCAGGTCGTGTGGATTAGGAGACACGGCACAAACAACTTCCCTTCAGTCTTCAGTACCAGGCAGCAGGCATTCACATCATGTTTTTATGACTCATTTGTTCAGCACATCCTTGATAACACATAAGTAGTTCTGAGCCATTATGACCCCCATTTGGACAAAACAGCACATGGGTTACGTGAACCTCTGGCCCAGGTGGTTTCATTTAAGTATTAGGTCTAAATAACAGTACTTTTTCTTCTTACAGGTAACAGTGTCTTGAGTTTTTGCAGTTTAGTGATTTAAGATTAAACATAGGTTATATATATAATATATGTATTGATAATATACAATCCCACTTTTCCTGCAACACCTGAGTTTTCCACATGTTAATCTTGAAAGCTGTGAGAATTAACTATACCCATTTCAATTTGACGTTAATAATGGGTTCATAGTAATTTTGGGACACTAAAAGGGGCCTGAGGGGATTCGCTGTCAGTGTTGTAAACTTTAATGACTTTCCGGCTAGATTTATTGACTTTTGATCATGTGCTGCGAACTCCATTAGAAAACAGAAAAATATGCTGGGTTTTCAGTTTGAGTCAAATCTAGCTTACTCTTATGGCGCGTTTCCACTGCAGGCCTCGCTCGGCCTCGCTCGGCCTCGCTCGGTTTGGTTAGGCCTTATTAGGCCCGGCTCACTTTAATGCTGCGCTTCCATTACAGTTTAGGAACTGGGGTAGTTACTATAGTAACGCAGTGTAGGCGGAGCCGTGACGTCATCTTCAATTAGAGCCCCAGAAAAACAACACAGCCATTAGCTCTTAGCACTCAGAGCTCACAGCTCTTCATATCTATTCAGAAACTAGACAAAAGTTAAACAAGTACAAACCACAGACTGCCTGTGTCATGGTGAATACAGTCGCTGGTTTATTTATGTCTGTATAGGCCGTTGTTGTGAGTGTGGACGGTCGGAGCATATATAACGTTAGCTTAGCCAAGTTCCATTTAGAAAACACGCATTTTAAAAGGGTTTTTCGCCTGCCGTCTGTCTGCAGACTTGTCAAAGCATTAATTCATGGTTTTTACTAACCGGTATGAGTATGTTGTTACTTCGGCATTATTTTGAAACGTGTATTACAATTAAATCACGGTCAAATATGTTCATCTTGTTGTAGTTGTAGCCCCCTTGCCAGCGATTCTCTCTCTAGTTTAGCATACTCAGCCCGACTCAGCCTGGTTGTTCCTGGCCCTAGAACCACGATTTTATGGGACCAGAAAAACTGTGAATTAGGACCCGCTAGCCGCCGGTACTAGGCCAAGTGGAAACGCAACCAAAAACGGGCCCCGCACGGCTCGGCACGCTTAAAGCGAGCTACCCGCTGCAGTGGAAACGCGCCATTATTACTGGCTTTTCTGTTGCCGACCCAAACTTTAAGGAGATATATTTTAATGGGGTTAATGGTTCACTTTTACATGACATTAAAAAACATAAGAAACAAGTGGTTATGGTTTATAGAAGGTTACATTTAGCTTAAATAATTAATTATTAAACAGGGTATTTAAAGAAGTTATAAGGCACTTTTGACATACAACACATTTAACACAAAAACGACTAGTATATTTGTATCTTATTTTATTGAATTCTGTAAATGTTGTTCAATTTAACTTTTATGCTGAGGTGCTATTCTTTCCCATGTGAAGCACTCAGTTACAATAATTAAAAGATAATTGCTTATTATTTGTTGTTGTATGATAGCATGTATCTAAATCTTAAATGCTACTGTAGTAATGCAAAACATATCATCTTCTCAAAATATCCATTATAAGCACAAAATACTAAAGAAAATCATAAACAAAAACCTAAAACTCTTACTTAGGATATTTGTTGTGAGTGAAATATAAAACTTGATTTGGCACATGGCTCCATGAAGTCATTTAATCTCATTAGAGCACCTCACTCCTGCAGACTGCACACTCAGTGTGATTATATTTAAGATATGGAAATTACAACCATGCAGTTTAGCTCTGCTTCCTCTTTAGTGCTCCTGCGTTGCAAGATGTCCTAATCGGCTCAGTAACTAATTATTTGTGTGCCATTGTAACCTTCCTCTTACAAGTGACGCATGTTGACAGGCGTTAGCCTGCATCACCTCTTGACCTTGCTGCTTCGCTCTTCCTTCCACCTCAGGAGTGTTGTTGGGAACATGTGGGAACCTCCAAGTTTTCCTCTCTTGCGAAATAACTCTGATTACAAAATGCTGATGTTACTAATGAGCTGCTCTCGTGTTTTACTTTTCTTCTAAGTGGCCCCATCTGTCTGAATGAATGCCTGCAACAGCAGATAGTGGTTGGTGTTCATTCGCACACGTGCAGAGAAATCTCAACTAGAGAATATTTCATAATAAAACGTTGATTGAAATATCACAGCTGCCACAGAAATCACGTAATTGCAGCTTTTTTAGTATTCCAGTCAAATCTATTTCAGCATAACAAACAACAGGATAGTATTATCTTGCACCAAACAGTTTGCTGCGTAATCAGGTGAACAAGCAGTGATGATAGAGATGGCATTGGGGTACAATCTCAGCTCACAAAAACAAGATATTTTCAGCCTCTGAGAGCTCCTGTGATCTTGATGGTGTTTTTCCATTAGTGCGTCCGAGTGTGAGAACATCACTGGATCAAAAGGAGCATCATGTTCTGTTTCTAAACAATAGTTGAATCAGACAAGGATTTTCCTTCCTCATTCTTTCCTCCAAAGCTTCCTAGAATAACAGAGGAACTTCTTCATTTCCGAACATGTACAGTAAATCTTGTTCTACCTTGTATGTTTGTTGATACTGCATACTTTGATTTGCAGTATGCATACGATACTGCAGTGGTCCCCATCTCTATTTTAAGACATCCACAGGCTCTTTCAGAAACACATATGACTTCATAAACGACCCCTGTAATGTATAAAATGTATATGTTGGATTTTAATTAATCTAACACTATAAACTACATAAAAGTGGATGTTTTTTTAATCATGTACAAACTTATACTGGTAATGATTGGGTCAGTTTGGTCAAGTTTGATTTGTGCTACTAGTAACAGATGCTAGACCTTTAAGTAATTTATTCTTTATATTTAGCTATTTTTATATCAAATGTATCGAACTATTTCCATTATTTATCTGACAAGTTGATGAAAAACGTTTCCCTGATGTCCAATTTTTAATATGAATTATTCCAAACTCATTATCCATTACAATGTATATGTCTTAACTTTAATTAAATTCCAGCACTTACAATATTGTGTACATCTTATAAATTATGTTGCATATCTGTAAAAAAAGGTCAATCTGTTTGACGAAAGATGAAACAAGTATTTGTAAATGTTTCACAATTGCAGGTAGTAAAATAGTTCAATACACCAGCTGCTCCTCTGTCTGTGTGATGTTGCAATGTGAACAAATAAAAGTGGAGATCAACAACAACTGAGACTGTGATGTGGCCGCAAAATAGCTTGAGATAAGATTGATTGTTTCCAAGGTCCAGAGTTATCTAATTCTGAATCTGAATCTGTTCACTCCTTCACATGCACAAGTGTGTCATATATCAGGGGAGGGGGCAAAGTGCTGCAAGCCAATCCCAGTAATGGTCTATTATGTACAATTCAATTATTAGCATAATGATCTCCAACACTGTTTAATTTGAATAACTTTATTCATTTTAAAAGACTACATTTATAAAATAATTGGAATGATCCCTTTTAACTTTAGGACGAGCAGCTGATTAGATATTATTACATTAACTACACTAACTTTACTGGTCATTACATTTTGAAAGCAGAACAATTGTATTTTCTTGCTGTAAATAACCATTTTTTTGGCCAATTATTTTGCCAATTGTTCAATTAATTGGTCATTTATTGTGTCGATAAAATGTCACATAATGAATCGCTAATACTTTATTATAATAATGTTTGTATTTTTGAACAAGCCTAATGGTATTTTTAATGGAAGTAATTTATCAATATCATCCTTTATACGCAGACTTTTTGTTTAGAAGTAAAGCATTACAAATATGGAATTATAAAGTGAAATATACCCTATCCCAAAGTACCAAAAGTAAAAGTACTTATTAACAGAATAAAAATGTTATTTTTGGAATATAATTATTAATGCATTAATTAGTTTTATCACTTTACCTCTGCATCTTGTAAGAGTGAATATCATTTTAATTGCAAACTATATACTGCTGGAAAGCTTGACCTATAATAATTATCATATCTTTAGTTGATTATATATTTTTTCAATTGAAGAAAGTAATTTTAGTGTAAATAATCCCTCTTTAATAGTAGCTGAACATTTAGATATTTAAATGAAGTACAAGTACCAGAAGGTGTATACTTCAACACAGTACTACAGCAAATGTACTTTGTTACTCTGGGTATATAAATAAATGCATTACTTTCTGACGCGTTGCCACCTGACAGTAGGATCAGTTTGTTGTGTAATCCAATAAGCTCCAGTCCGTATTTCCCCTGGAGCCCATCTGGCTGACTGGCTCGGTTTGTTTACTGGCGGAGGCTGAAGAAGGGGATCCTACAGGACCTGCTGGGAGACTGTACAATCTACTTCTGTTTGTGGAAGAAGAACAGGGGAAAACAACTTTATTTCCCATGCTTTCCTCTCATTCAGATACACGCTTACTTGCTGTGGTGGCAGGAGCCTGAACACAACTCGGAGCATTTATAGGTTGTTTTTTTTTCTATTCCCAAACAAAAAGAAGAAGAAGTGCGGAGCCACGACTGAAGTCTGTCAGAGAGTGGAGGTCTCACTGAAATCTCTGCACTGACTGAGAGTACTCGTTAGAGTTGACCAGGGAAAAACTACACTTTGTTTCCCAAGCGAGAGGAATCAACTGCGATGTTTTGTTTTCGCAGGAGGGATTGAGGGATTCTTTTTTTTTTTTTACGAAAGACACGCTAACGTTACGCCACGCATGCCACAACCATCGAGTCAGCAGCTCCAAAAAATCCTCTAAATTAAGTTATCAGTCGCTTTAATGGGATTTTTCCAGCATGCAAATTGACTCTTGTATTAATAATATACAGTGCAGCTGTAAAGGTATGCGGGGGGTTTCTTAAAGTAAAATATATTGAGATAGTTGCTGAAAAGCAGCGCAAACTTCACTTGTGGCCTGGACTAGAGGTGGAGCTAGGCTAGGCTAGCTAGCTTAACCGTAGCATTTTTTCAGAACAACAAGTCTATTTTTGCTCCTTTTTTCGGACACGGACAATCTAAACTGGTTCAGTTTATCCATCAAATGCATTTGAAGACTTAAAAGGAGCTCTCATATCCCGTAGTGATGTGTGTTACGGGTGCTTTTCCATGAGGTGGCTAACTTTAGCAGTGCTAGCTTGTGTTTGAGTGAACACGTTGGACTCGTTCCTCCGCCCATCTTCCGGGATGGCTTTTATTTATTTTTGTTTACCTGTTGGCCCACTCCGCCAAACAAAACCAATTTCCTGAAGGTATTTCTCCTTCAGTCTGAACTGTGTCCTCGCCAAGGATTATTCTGCATTTGACCCGGAATAGTGGTGCATGGTGTTTTATTCCGAGTCAGTTATGTGGCTCCGGACTTTGTGTTTTGTTTTCACGGTCTGCTTTGTGATGAGCTGTCATCGAGCAAGTGGAGAGGGTAAGTAACATTATTATCACTTTTATTCATAGTTTATATTAAGCATTTTAATCATGTTAAATTGTCTGAAAACGTGGCTGGGTGGACTGTTTGTGTATAAAAACATAGACAATATGCAAAATGCTAAAGATCTACAATTTTATTTAAAAAGAAATGTCGGACTGTCAAATATTTTGCATTTTGTTGTCTATTGCATGTGAGGGGATTCACAATGACATCTAAAAATCATTACTTATTTGTTAATTTCACCAAGATAGTGAGGAAATTATTGACTCTCCTTTTTATAATTTGTTAGAGAACCTTAGGGATATACACTATTAAATCATTGTTGCATTAATTATCAGTACATTTTATACACATTATTAATACAATAGTAAGTGCAATTACATTAATTTGAAAAACATGCTTGGACATATTTTAAACATACTCATGATTCTCAGTGCTGCAAAGTTGTCATTTAAATTATAATGTTGTTATTGATGGTGATTTCTTTTTGAAGGCACGTAGGCAGCAACAGTGGTGTCGTAGACAGTCACTGCATTGAAGGGACAAAGGTTAACACTTATCGGCTATTTGGAGTCTGCAGGCACTGTAAACAATATATTTTTCTCCCAAATAAGTAAGCAGTCTGAGCATTAGGGAGAATTAAATATCTGTTATTGTGAAAGGGAAAGCCTTGGCTTGTTGCTGTGGTCAGTGCAGGAATGCAACAATAAGCCCTCTTTACAACTCCTGACAATCCCTTTTTATATTCAGCAGCCAGCAAGCACCGGGTGATAAGAATGAATGGTTAATATTTGCAATCACCCCGAGACATTTTCAACATTTTCAAAAACCACAATCGGTATTTCACACTCCTTGAATCTGTAAACCTAAATATTGGTTGTATGTGTGAGGAAATGTAAAGCAAACCGATGGGACTACATGCTGGTTTAAAGTACTGTACAGCAAGTGTGCACTTCAAGTATGACAACACCAGAAGTCAGGCTGGTAAACAGTGACAGTGACAGTTCTTTCACTGTCTCATATACTAGAAGATGTTATCATTTTTGATCTAATCAGATGATCCAGTGGATGTTAGTGGTGCTTTATAAGTTAGATGATCATTTTCCAAGTTAACAGCTCTTCATGTGGTTTCTGTTCAAACTTGTAAAATAGCTGTTCTTTTTTACTCATGGATTTGCATATTTGAAAGAAACGTGTCCTGTGTGTTCAGTCCATGTGTTATAACCTTGTCTTGAGTTGGGAAATGAACTCACAGTGTTGTTAAGATACAAGGCAGGCATTTAAAATAAACAAAATGCTTAAAAATCGTAATAAAGCTTAAAAACTCCACAATAAGCAATTCAAATGTATATAGCTATCAATTAAAAACTCTGTGGTGTGATGACTTGTTTACAAAATAATTATTTCTATAATTGTTGCTCTCATTTATGTCCTTCAAATCTGTACATACAACAGAGAATGCATAACAAAATACATCACATTTCGTTTTGGTGCACAAATGCAAAACTAAAGGCATTTAAAGATGCTTTTATTAGGATTATCACTCAGTAAATACTCCCTAAATGCTCTTGTGTTTTCACCCTTTTTTTCTGCTCCTTGCGAAAACATTGCTCCCAGGTTTGTGCTGTCTTACAATAACGTTGACTCAAGCAACACATAATCCTCTTTTGTACGGTATAATAAGTTTGTCCACTTTATGTAAACACAGCATGTAGCCCCAGGTAGCTCTAAATCTCCCCGACTACTGCAGTGCTGCGTGTGGCTGTGGTCGGATTTAAGAGGCGCTCTGAAGGAAAAGCAAAGCACAAGCTCTCTCACTTTTCATCACATTTTAGTGAGGGGCGAATACAGCGATGTCATCAAACCAGTTTGAGCAAGAATTTTAAGACATCAAGTTGTGTAATTGTGCACTTCAGCCCCTTCCACCCCCCTCGAGCTCCTCTCAGACTGGAGAGAGAACCGCAGAAGGGGAGAGAACCTGGGCCTCACACCGGTCTATTTTATAAGCTGGACTGACCAGTGTCCAAGTCAGGAAACCTTGATGGAAACATTCGCTTAATAATAGGAGCTTATATTTAGTGGCAGCGTGATATTCATTTAGTTTATTTATAATCAGATGGCTGCTAAAACGCTCAATTGTAACTGCAAATATGTATTTTTTACATATATTATACTTCAGATAGCTCCAGCTTGGGCCTCTTATTATAACATTACATTCAAGTCACAGAGCTAACCATCTGTTTTTCACAAAGATGAATATAAACAAGTGATCTTGCTTACGTTTACAGTTACTGATCTTCTAATATCTTAGATTCTTAACAATCATGACCAAAAAAGATTCTGCTGTCAGCTGCACAATCACATTTTTAACCTGTTTCTCAAGTTGTGTCACCGTCTTCTTACACATATGTCACCTTGGAATGACATGTTCGGGCTCCATTTGTACATCGTGAAACAAAATGTAAAAGACAACTTTACCTCAGGCTATTTGTCTGAAGGTTTTTCTATCATAAAAACATTTTATTAAGCCAAATAAGATCATAGATCCAGTATATTGTTGGGTCGAGGACCATTTGATATATAATTGCATTTTGAGATTGTAGTATCAATAGTAGGCAAATTATAAAGAGAATAGAGACAGGTGGTACAACACGATACAAAAGAGGCACAAACAGTGTTTTCCATCAGCTCGTTTCAACTCAGGTTTTGTGTGGAGGTCTCAGGTGGTCAGATTGTCAGATTGCAGCGTATTGTTGTGCCATTATAAAGCATCACTTTATCAAGAATGTCAAATGGCGGGGGACCCGATGAAGCCCCTGCAGGCTGTTGTTGAGATCCACTCCGGTCACAGCAGGTCTCGAAGGCAGGCAGCAATCCAGAGTCCTGGTACTCGTGATTTAGGCCTTCCGACAAGGAGGGCATTTGTAAAGTGATGAAACTGTCATCTCCCCTCCACCACCAGCACTTCTCCAAAAACACTGCAAACAAACTGCCACTGCTGTTTTGAAAAAGTCACGAGCACGCTTGACATGTATACAATGGAATCATCTTTACACTTGTCTACCCTCAACAATGTCCGTTTAATCCCAGTTGACAAATTCATGTTTGAAAATTATATACTGCTTTGAAAATGTAGTAAACTGGCACTCCTTCACTCCGACCACACAGGCGTCTGTCAAGGAAGCCTTGTTGTGTCACATCTTTACCCTTGACACCGTTAACAATAAATGTGCTTGCTGTTGTGCTCTCACACTTCAGAGGTAATAATTACCTCACTGCCAACATTGATGAGAAGAATATTATATAGTATAGAATATTGTATCTGAGTGCAGCTGGCGGGCGATCACCAAACGATCTTTGGTCCGGAGCCATCCATACAGGATCCTCTTCAAATGCCTCACGAGGGAACTTTGTGGTTTAATAGGCTTTCTCTAAAAGCCTGAATCACTTTTATTTCATTGTATTCCCTCTAATGTAATGCATTGTCATTGGGCAGCACTTGCTATGTCACCCCTACCTAACAGCTGGCTCATTTGATAACCCGCTCTAAAGACATGTATAGGCGAGCCTGTACTCTTGAGACATTTACCAAGAATAGAGCTGCAATGATTAGTCAACGGATCTTTATTTTAATCGACAGAAAAATAACCTGCAACCATTTTGATATTAGATTTATCTTAGTTTTTCATGCAAAAGCTTCTAAAACATGTAGATTTCCTGCTTATTCTCTGTTTTCACATCATGTTAAATGCAATATTTTATGTTTTTGACTGACAAAACATAGCAATAAAACACATTAAATTCGACTTTGAGAAACTGGAAACCTTTTCAAAATGTTCTAAATCAAACGATCTTCAAATGATTTAGTAAATATATAATAATGAAATTAATTGTTAGTTGCAGCTAGGCCTGTCGCGATAAGCAATTAATTGACTTATCGTACGATAAATAAAAATGAACTCGACTTTTCTGACCTCGATAAATTGCCGTTTAAATGTGTGTTTGTTTACATAAGGATGTGACCAGCATTTTAGCCAGGCGTGCTGTGAGGGGCGGGGCTCACACACAGCCAGGTCATATTTTTATATATATATATACACAGTCTATGGTCAGGACACTCCGTGTGAAACAGCGTAGCAGCCAAATGAATAATATAGAGACAATATTTATCGCAATAATTTCCAGGAAAATGTATCGTCCAACAAAATTAATTATCGTGAAAGGCCAAGTTGCAGCCCTACCCTAGAAGGTTGTGTCTCTGTGAGTTATATTAATACCATTGTCTTAACTGCTGTAATATATCTTATCCTGTGCAGCTGAAGCCAGGAGAAACCTCTCCTAATTAACCATAATTGCAGCCGAGAGCCTTTTTGAAGTAAAAGTTAAATGGACTGTCTGTCGACTCGTCAAACATATCCTCGAGCTGAAACGGTTGTCAGAGTTTAAGCTTGTTTGCCTATGATTTTACTTTAAAGGGGACCTATTATGCAAAATGTACTTTTGATGTCTTTTATACATAAAGTGTGTATGCCAGGGAACTCACAAAGTGTCAGAAAAAAAAACCCTCTCTCTTTTCCTCTGTACCCACATCTCTAAAAAAAGGGTGGTGCTAACAAGCAGATCCAGAATTTCGCTCCTATAACATCATTGGCGAAATGCGGCCGACGTGACACGTCCCAACCTATATTCTCCGGCACACGTGACACCAACCTATCGTCTCCGTATACAGTCGCAGCTGTGTGTCTGTGTATTCAGCAGGAGGTCTGCAGGAGGCACTTAGAGTAAAGTTGTTATATGTAATACATATAATGGCACTGTTCTAGCGGTAAACACTTAAGAAAGAACATGTCAAGCTATGTGCTGTATCAGAAACAATGCGCGGCGTGTTTTGGGAGTAATATGCTGTGTGTTTACATTAGCAAGCATGCTAACACTCAGAGCTAACCATGGAGCTAAGCTAACGCTGTAGGCTACTGGAGAGAATATGTGTAACG